AATTACTTCAGTTTTCTCTCTTTCACTGAGTGCAAATTGCCTATTTCAAGTCTGTTTGTCAGTCGATGATAAACCTATTGGACTTTGATTATCTAGCATGTTTAGTTGATTTTAATTCATGAATGTGATGACTAGTTTGACCATCTTTACACCAAGGACATTAGCTTTTATAAAGCTCAGGAAGGAGTTTATAAACATATAAAGACCACCATTTAAGTATTGCTAAGTATGTATTCAAGGGCCAACAAAACTATGGCTGATTTTGGGCAAACACGTTAAGTTTAAATAATTGAAAACTTGGTTGCTTTCTGAGCACTTCTTGCCATTTTTGTCTGAGAAAAGGTGAATAATAGAAAGACAAATGTAAAAGTAATGCGAATAACTTATACTTGTTAGGTTTGGCATTTCAGAATGATTTAGCTTCACTGAATGATGACTTGACACTTATTTTATGATAAAATGGCAGAGTTAGTAGGAGCCAAGTATTTTAAAAAATTTCTCTGAATAAGAAGAAACTGGTTATGATGTGTTTGAATGGCTCCTCCTCCTTTGTCTTTAGTTATTTACTCAGATAAATATTTGTAATAACATACTTCAATATTCTATTTACCTGTGTAAAAATCACATGTTTCTAAGTTATGACAGTGATGTAGGGTAGCAGAAATAGTTGTTGTTTATGGTTAAAACTGTGGAAGGTAGAATTCGTTGTGACAATTAGAAAGTGGTAACATGATTGATTACTAAAGAGGGAAGTTTAAATGATGATGATACTTTCCTCAAGTTCTGGCTGTCAGAGACAACTTCTGCTTAATTTCACTGAAGAAACAATCCTCCAGTGGAAATTGTGTTGAAATTTTTCTTGTGACTTTCCCATATATGTTTTTGTTTAACTAATTCCAAAATCAATGAAACACATAAAAACATGTTTTTTTAATTGTGCAACTTTACATTTTTACTAATATTTCAGGAGTGACTGATTATGACAGTGAAATACAGCCAAAATAAGTTTAATTGTTCATGAAAAAAACGTTTTATGTGTCTCATTGAACTTATGCACAAGCCTGCCAGTATATAAATTTCCTGTTCCAAGATTTTTTTTTTAATCTCAATGTTATTGGCATTTTGTTAGAGAATGTCTTAGGCTTAAAGTGCTGTGTATCTTAAATGTGAATGTCAACTCCACTATTATTTCTTCTTCATTTCTTTTCTTCTTGCTTTTCCTTCATTTTAGTCCATTATGTTAAGTTTTATTTTTGTAGAATTTGGATTAACAGTATACAAAGCATATAGTTGGTCCCACAGCAAAATTTTAATATAATACCACCATTTTTTATTTCTATATTTTTATAACTCGCATGAAGAACAAAACATGGATGATTATATTCTTAAGTGATGATAGTGTCCTAGCGAATATAAGCCTAGGTTTTAGAATGAGCAGGTAAATTCTAAGAAAAAAAACATAATAAGTCATGAGGCACCTCTGAGCTGAGCTGTACAGAAAGGAAAGCTTCATTTTTTACATTTTTATTTATATATTGCACTAAATAAATGTTATTACAAACAAGCAGAAGTACCCGTCCCCAGTAACAGGAAGAGTTTAAGTTAATGTAGCAAAATTATCCATCCCCACTGATGGGAGAAAATTATGTTAATCTATCAATTTAAATTATTTCATGGACTTCAAAAAGGTTAATTGTGTTGAATTCTTGGTTTCACTGAGAACCAAAGCTCTGAGCTACTTATACAGCCCACCACGATAAGTAATTGTTGAGCATTTCAGTCATGCTAAGAGCCATTCAACAATAACATACGGTAATTCTATATTCTTACTCTTTAAGTTACATCACATTTTGAAATGTGAATGATAGTGTGATTAATTCCTAAAAATTTAATGTAGGATATCCTGCTTGCAAAATGAAATTTGGCATCAACATTATTCGTGTCTGTTCTCTTGTCATTTCAAAAGTAAATGTTGAGCTTTGCCTGCATGCACAGCTTTTCAAACAGGAGACAAAGGAATGCTCAGACAGACACCACTGTTCACAAAAGATAAGTTTTAAAATTAAATTGAGGGAAAAGTTTTAATAATAGTTGGGAGTGCTCTATGTATACTCCATACATTTGGTAACCATTAAATAACTGACTGAAAAAAAATTGTATGAAATATTTCTTTTTGAAAATATCCTTCTTTCAATGCTACATTTTCTTTGCTATTCAGAACAATAACTATATTCTGGTTTGAACCAATTTTCTTTATTTGTTTATGAATTTCAGAAATCTCTACTGGATGGATACAGAGCTGTCTAGTAACCAACCTCATGGAAGGATCTTCACCAGTTTGTTAGATGGGCGATATAGGAGGTCTATTGTTACTTCAGGGTTAGAACAGCCTGGTTCGCTAGCCCTAGATCCTGAACTTGGGTATGTGTTATTTAGTCATTATTTGATGCTGTACTGTTCTATATTTATATGCTCCAAGATATTTTTAACCAACCTGCAGTAGATCACACCTTATAAATTTGTAAATTTATGAAAGGAAGCTTCTAGGAAACGTTTTCTTTTTAAAAGCAATGTTTTTTTTAAAAGAAATTTTATTTGGTTATTCATGAAGTTAAATACTTTAATAGCTATTAAATTCAGAGTATATTGGTAGTTCATTAAAGTAACTTTAAAGCTAAACTTTGAACTTTGAAAGCTGGCTAAAGAATGGAAATCAATAATTATAATATTCATGCTACATATCATGTAATAATGGAGGTTTTCAAGTTCTCATATTGCATACTTAAATAGCCTTTCAACAAATTTTGTTTTTCATCATCCAATACAGCTTATGAGTTTTGGTAACAAATGAGAGGCTGTCTGAGCAATGACATCAGGCAAACAAAAGATAGATATAAAATGCTATTGTGTCACTCCTCTGTTTTGAAATATGTAAAGAGCAAATTATGAGAAATTAAAAAAAATCTGCAGTCTATCATGACTTTTATCAGGATAGTAAACTTTGTTGCTATAAATCTTTATTATTTCTGTTCTTTTTTAGTAAGCTCATCTGGACAGATGCTGGAACTACACCGAAAATAGAATTAGCATGGATGGATGGTACTAAACGCAAAGTACTTGTAAATGAGAAGCTTGGATATCCTTCTGGGATCACAATAGACTATTATGGGGGTCACCGTATATACTGGTGTGATTCAAAACTGAACACAATTGATTCCATGAAAATGGATGGCAGTGACAGGGTGACAGTCAGTAGCGGAGGTAAAAAAAGTTTATTAATAGTGATGTGATGATAAGGAGTAATGTTTGCATTTTTGTTTTCATACACTGATGGCATTCAGGAAGTCTTTTAATAATTTCCTGCAAATAAAATGGAAACACAGAACATGATGTTTTGTTAAGCTGTATCATTTCAGTAATTACAAGTTTTCTCATTTTTTACTAATATGATATTTACTGTTGCGTTTTCTTCCCACCTTCATAAAATATTATACATTCATGTTGCAAAAGTAGTGGGAGAGACATAAAATCCGTCTATAGGTCACCTCCATGAAGAGTCACTTGAATAGATGTTGCTCAAAAAAGAAGTTAAGGTCATAAATTAATTTTGAGTGATAAGTCTTTAAATGAGAAAAGAAGGCCAAAAATAGCAGGGCTGAGCTATTCTTGTTCAATGTTATTTCAAGATATCAAAAACTGGTCAGTAAAAATTGCATTTTCACATAATCTAAAATAAAAGTAGTATATAACTATCCTAATACTTACCCTCCACTTCTGTAGTTCCCATGATTATAATATCCTGAAATACTGATAGCAAGAATGTGATAGAAATTAAAACAATAACCAAACAGCTTAATCAAAATATAATACTACCATGTTATCTGCTAACCTTATGTGCCAAAATCACATTTATGCTTGGCAGAAATAAACAGTTTCTTGAAATCTAATTTCAAAAGAAGTTTTGAAAGTTTTTTAACTACTATTTCTGTAGGTAGTTTAGCAGGATGGAAAAGTCAATTATGAGTATTTATTGACTTCCCCATCAACAGCACAAAACTACCTCTATTTCCCTGTTATATTTTGAGTTCAGGCTAAGTTGTAGTAGGTCAGATCTGCCAGGTTTTTATTACCCAAAGCTTGACTTTGATATTATCAAAACCTATGTGACAGGTTTGTGGTGCCCTTTAAAGAACTATAGTCATAACAACTGGAAATTAGGAAAAACTGACTTCAAATTAATAAAAAGGGTTAAGAAATGTTTGAAAGATAGCTTACGTTCTGACTACTGAAATGGGAAGTGAAATATATGAATCTTCTTTTCAATTGTTTAATTTCCTAGTAAGAGGTTTCTATGGTAATCTACCAATGCTACTCATCATTGTACATTATAAGAAATGGTATACGTGTAACAAACAAATATGTAAGGACAACAGTTAAATGATGTCCAATGAGGTTTTTTTTATACTTAATTGAAATTTGCTTCCTTTTCAGACCTTCATCATCCAGTCAGTATAGATGTGTTTGAAGATCATCTTTTCTGGGTGACACGAGATTCAGGAGAGATTTACAAACAAGACAAGTTTGGTAGAGGTGTCAAGGTTCGAGTCCGTCGGGGCCTAGAGAATCCTACTGGGGTAAAAATTTACCATCAACAGAAATATAATACCTCAGGTAAACGAGAGAACCTAAAAGATAATTGTTATAGATTTTATTAAACTTTCATATATATATATATATATATATATATATATTATTTTTTACTATACTAATTAAATTATTTGAAG